CATTCCTGGCCGGACAAGACCTGGGCCCTGCCTAGGGCTCCATCGCCATTCTCACCAAGGTGGCCAGTTCAGCCCCTGATCTGAGTCTGGGCCAGTGGCCATGGGGAAGGAGTTGGGGAGAAGGCTGGATGGCCCAGATCTGGGGTTAGTAGGCAGTGACACCTGTGAGAGGCACGAGTGAGACGCTGGTGCTGTTAGCGTTGTCAGGGAAGGTCCTAGAGGAGCACAGGGCCAGGCATTCCAAGGTGCGGAACACAGAGTGAATAAAGAAATGGGGGCGGGGCAGCAGGTGGCATGGTTAAGGCGCTGGACTCCCCCATGGCCAACTGCAGCTTGAGTCCCCGACCTGGAGGCTTGCTGTCTTTTATTTTATTTTATTATATATATATATTTTTGGAGATGGTTTTGCTATAGGGCGTATGCACTCACCAGAAAGACAGAGACAGACAGAAAGCAAGAAATCACCCTCCAGGGGGTGGCCACGCAGCAATCCCTTCTCCTCCATTCTCCTCTTGGGTTCTTGGGCACGCATGCACATGTGCCCTGCGTGAGTTTAAGCCACCGGTCTGGGACTCAAACCTCAGTCGACTACATGGGAGTCCAGCAACATAGCCATTACACCAACTGCTGGTCCCCAGGCTTGCTTTCTCACTTTCCCTGTCTCTCCCTCTGGTGAACATGTGCTCTTTAAGAAATTAAAAAGTAGTAAGTAAAATTTTTTAAATAAGCGAACAGAAGACCACGCAGGACCAGACATAGACAGGCACGGACTGCCAGAGGCTGGTAATCTGGGCCAGGGAACCCCAGAACGGAGGAATCCGCACTCACCTACCTGCTCGATCTCCCGGCAGCGCCGACCTAGCGCCTGGTACTTTCTGCGATTCAGTTCCCGCTGGCGCCGCCGCCGCCCCCGGGCTGCCTCTTCCTCTTCATCTCGCTCCCGGAGCCCGGAACCGCCCAGTCCTCCGGACACGAACTCCACTTCTGTCTCCAGCTCGCTCTCCAGGATGTGGCCACCAAACAGCGGGGGCAGCGCCAACTCCGAGCCCGGAGGCGCTGAGAACTCCTCAAAGCCCACGGCTGCCATGGTCCTATAGAGTCAGGGGGCTCAGGGACCCGGACGTCCGGCCCCCAGCCCCTTCTTTCTCCTCACTCAGACCCAGGAATCCCGGCCCTCAGTCCCTCCTCCCTCATACCCGAGAGTCCCAGTCCCCCACCCTCCTCCCTAGGACCCCAAAGAGTTCGATCCCTGATCCCAGCCGGCCAGCTTACCCTTCCACCCCAGGACCCAGAGAAGTCTAAGTCCCCACCTCCTCACTTAGGCCCAGGAGCCCAGACCTCCACCTGGCCTCTTGGATCCGGGGTCCGCAAGACAGACCCCCATCCCTAAAGGGGTAGTGAGAGCAGTTGCATGAACTACAACCCCCATCAGCCCTCGGGGGAGAAGCGCAGACGGCGGCACGTTCTGCAGCTGCAGTGTCTTTTGGGACTCGCAGTTTTTCGCCGAGGCGCAGCCACTCACCCCTCTCTCTGCTCCAGTTCCATCTCTCTCCGCTGCGGCGCCCCAGGCCCCAGATCTTCCAACCTCCGGCCTCCAAGTTAAGCCACTCGCGAAGCCGGACCTGGCCCCTGGACCCTCTGGAAGTTGTAGTCTCCTACTTCCGGAGTCGTTTCCCCACCACCCACCCTCCGAGTCCCGGCTCAGAAGCCTTCCTTTCGGCCGCCACCCGCCCGAGGCGTCACCGTCCTGATGCTCGTTCCGGCACCCCGACGTCCAGCCCCGGAGGAGCTCTGCTTGGCAGGCTCAGTCCGCCGGCCGCGAGCTCCACGACCCCTCGCCTCTCCGGCTTAGCCGTCTCCGCCCAGCGGCAGGTGCTAATAAAGTTGTTGTTCCAAACACGGCAAGGACGGCGCGCGGTGTCCAATCAGAGCGCAGCCTGGACTCGGATACGGCGCGACTGAGGGACGTCATCAGTGAGCGCCGATCGCTCTTGGGAAGCCGATTTCCTCGAGACCGTTGTGCGGAGAGGGAGGTGCGTGGCCCGGGGACCAGGGCAGGGCGGGCGGGCCCGGGCCGGAGGAGGAGGTGTGCGGAGAGGGGTGGCCTCGCAGAGCGGCTTCCCACGGCCTCGGTCTGGGCCTGGGGAACCGGCAGACGCAGTCAGGGCGCCATGCCGCCTCCGAGTTTTTGATGGGGCTGGAGAGCTGCTTGCACGGCCGTGAAGTGCGAAGCGCCCGGGTAAAGACGCAGGGCGTGCGGGGCGTGTTTCACAGAGCCACGGGTAGTCGGGAGCGGGGTGCGTGGTGTGGGGAGGTGCCGAGCTGGTAAGGAGGCGAATGTCAGGCAGAGGGGACGGGTTGTGTGAAGGCGCTAAAGCTTAACGAGGCGCTGGTTCCAGGGGCGTGCCGGCTCTCGCAAGAGCGGGCGCTGGAGACACCCCAGTGAGCCAGGTCCTGAGCAAGGTCCCTGTCCTGTGCAGCCTGCATGCTAGTGGGGTTGATAAGGAAGCACCCGGGCCTCGCTCTCCCTTCCCACAGGCCTTGGGATGTCTCTGGCAGACGAGCTCTTGGCCGACCTTGAGGAAGCAGCTGAAGAGGAAGAAGGAGGAAGCTATGGGGAGGAGGAAGAAGAGCCAACTATCGAGGATGTGCAGGAGGAGACACAGCTGGATCTCTCTGGGGACTCGGTCAAGAGCATCGCCAAGCTATGGGACAGCAAGATGGTGAGAGCCTGTGGGCGCATCTCAGCAGGCACTCCCAGGAGGGGCCGTATGGTCGCAGCTCTTTTTAGAGAGACTTGGTTCTGACTCTCATCTCCCTAACAGTTTGCTGAGATCATGATGAAGATCGAGGAGTATATCAGCAAGCAAGCCAAGGCTTCTGAAGGTACATTCTTCCCCCCAGGGCCCCCTTCCTCCCTGTCCCTTCTCCTGCAGGCCTTTGGCTCTTCTGTTGCTTGTGGCTTGGAAGTTGGGTGCATCTTCCTCTGAGCTTTTTCCAGAGTTCTCTTTCCTTGCATCTCAACCCAGCCTCCTCCCCTAAAGCTGTATTATGTTGCAAACTTGACACTAAAGTCCTTATTCTGTGTTCAACGCCTACACCTGTGTAGGAACGATCTCGAGTTCCAATCTTGGCAAGTCACGTGACCACTTGCAGGCTTTGCCCCATCTGTAAGCCCTTTGTCCTCTTCTTCTTTTTTCTTTTTTTAAGAGAGATTTTTGTGGGACCAGCAGTTGGCATAATGGCTATGTCGCTGGACTCCCATGTAATTAACTGCAATTTGAGTCCCAGACCTGGTGGCTTAAACTCATGCCGAGCGTGTGTGCGTGCGTGTGTGCCCAAGATCCCGTGAGGATAATGGAGGAGGAGGGATTGCGGCAAGGCCATCTCCCCGGGGGGTGATTTCTCACTTTCTCTCTTTCTGGCGAGCGCACATGCCCTATAGCAAAAACCTCTCCAAAAAAAAAAAAAGGAGAGAGGGACCAACAGTTAGTGTAATGGCTATGTCGCTGGACTCCCACGTAGTCGACCGCGGTTTGAGTCCCAGACCCGGTGGTAGCTTAAAACTCACGCCGGGTGCGTGTGTGCCCAAGATCCCGAGAGGAGAATGGAGAAGGGATTGCGGCGTGGCCCCCCCCCCCCCGGGGGGTGATTTCCTGCTTTCTGTCTCTCTGTCTCTCTCTGTCTGGTGAGCACACGCGCCCTATAGCAAAACCTCTAAACACACACACACACACAAAAGGAGAGAGAGATTTTTGTCATAGGGTGTGTGCATTCACTGAAGAGACAGAGAGGCAGAAAGCAAGAAATCACCCCCCCGGGTGTATGATCATACTGTAATCTCTTCTTCTCTAGTCTTCTCAGGGTT